GCTGAAGAGTGGCTGAACAGAGATGATCAGCCCAATGGAAGGAGTTACAAAATGTGCAGCGATAATTCTCTCAGAAAGCATCTGCAAAATGTCAGGTATTGTCACTCTACACTGAAGGTCAGCATTGTAAAATACTATTAAAAGTTTAGATTTAAAAAAAAAAATTGTTAAGTAAAAAATTATGCTAAGTCAACTATTGTTGCTGCTACTATGTTGTCCTTGGATAATATTCTTCTTGGGCTTTCTCAGTATCAGGTAAAGTTTATGGCACCTCTGTAAGATACAAAAAGATATTATAACTATCATTTTGCAGATGGAGAAAAAACCATGTGATTTAAGTCAAAGTCACATAACAGATTGTAAATGCCTACATGCCAGGAAGGAAATTCAAACTGTTTATTCTCAGCACCCCTCTCAAGCCACTATTAAATTTAGAAAAATCTGAAATAGTACTTTACAACATTATCATAAACAATTATGAAATCTCTCACTGATTCATTGAATGACTAGATAAGAAACATCTCCCAAGACAAAATACACATTAAGAATCTGTTCCCGTCTAATTACTTTAGTAACTGATAAAGTTTTAACCGATGCATGCACACAGGTCATGCTGTCTGTTCACAATGAAATCTCTGATTCTAAACACATCATAAAGGTATCACATATGTAGCATATGGACTCATGTCAAATAATGTGTTGCAGTTGATTTGACCAGTATTGATAAACAGACTGCAGAAAAGGAGATGGAAAGCCGAAAAAGAGCAAATACTCTTGCCAACTTGTTCCTAGAAAAAGTCAAAGATTTTGATGATTTCTTATGGAAAGTTACCGAAGAAGAAAATGTTGCAACCACATTCAGCAAGCAAAGGTAAAGAAGAGTGTCATACAGCAGATCTGGAATAACAGCTACAGCCTGTGATAATTTCAGGTTTTTTTCTCTTTTCTTTTGGGCAGGTCACATTTAAATTCAGAAGAAGCTATCAACATGCCTCACCATTCAAGTGATCAGTTACCAGGAGTCTTAAAGCAGTTCACTATATTATTAAGGTAACCTTATCTCCAGCATAAACAGTTACGTATCATGCCCATTTGTATTTTAAATTATAAGAAAGAAGCACAAAATGAGAACTGAGTGCATGCTGAAAGTGCAGAGCTAGCGCTAGGCCTGAGCAAGCCGTAGAGCAGAGGTGTTGCTATACTGGCTCACCCCAGCCCCCTGAGCAGCACAGCAACCAGACAGCAACCACTTTCCTGCCCCAGGGCCCCATCCAGATGCAGTCACCTCCAGCTCACATCACTGGGAGCCCGCAGCTTTAAGCAGCAGCAGGAGCCTCCAGGCTCAGCAACACGCGTCCCAGTTTTGGGTACCGCCACCCCGATACCCATGCTGAAGCGCGGTGACTCAGCCCTCAGCAAGCCCAGGCAGCCGCATGGTAGGCTCAGGCATCGCCATCCTCACACCTCTGCCTCACATTTGAAGCCAGGAGGCTTCACTGATTATAGCCAACATAGATGAGTATTGTAGTTGGGTCTCACGCTTGTGTACTCAAAAGAAACATGATCTACTGGTTTAATACACGTAGAACATCACTACCAGTATCAGCTGTTGTTAGCATACGCTACAGGTCCTTAACAGAGAGACTTCTATAACTGAAGTAATTGCTTCTGCATCTCCAAAGTCAGACTGTCCCACTCCCACTGCCTTCTTTCAAGCTTTCAGCATTTCAGACCTGAAATACCAGGTGGCTACAGATGCTCCATAGCTTTGATTAGATAAAATCCTTTCCAGAAACCAACAGCCCAACTCCTCTCCTACTCAAGGTCAGCAAGTTCCACAAATTCATTTTAGCAGAGAGTTTGAGGCAACATATCTGAACATAACTGGCATTAGTAAGTACTATACCTTATGGTCAATGTTGCTGTTTTCCTAGTCGTCAAGTCTCCAATGACTTCAGAGATCTTTCAACGTTATTAATCCATGGATTTGAGGCCCTTCTCATGTCTCTATTAATTGGATTTTTGTACTATGGCCATGAGAAAACCAGACTCTCTATTCGTGACACAACAGCACTGTTGTACATGATAGGTGCACTAATCCCATTCACAGTGATTTTGGATGTTATTGCCAAATGTAAGTGTCACTTTTGTAAATGTTATAAGCAATCAAAATCAGAAAATTCCTAAATCAATGAAAAAATTATACTTATTAATGCAGCCCTAGGATGAAACTAACCTGTTTGTTCCTACCCTGCAGGTCATTCGGAAAGAGCTATGCTTTATCATGACTTGGAAGATGGAATGTACTCTGTTAGCCCATACTTCTTTGCTAAGGTAATTGGTTTTGTTGCCAGGAAATACAAACAGCTGGCTTTAACATTAAAAAACACAAACAAACCAAAGCCTTGTTGTATAAATGATCACATTAACATCAGACTTTGTTCTTTTGTGTCTGCCAGCTAAGGCTATCGTTCTTGCTTCCTTGGCATTAATGGATTAAACCTCACGCTACTTTAGATCTGTTGCCATAAGTCATGGCTGAGATCCCACCCCAGAAAAGCCAAACAAGATTCTTTCACTGGGTTGTTTGGCCAGAATTTGAGAAATCTCAAACTCGAATTTGGGGGTTTAGACAGTTTTACGCACCTGCATATTTCATTCACTAAAGCATTTTTGAAAGTTTGATTACATGTCTTGATCTGTAAAACAAAATATTCATATTAAATGCTAAAGCAAAGGTAAACCAGAAGTGACAAAATGCTAACTGTGATGTTCCCAGTAGTTGTTTGGGCCTGCCCTGGTCAGAGACAAACAATTTTATTAAGTGCATGAAGAGCCAGAGTTTCTGGAAATAAATTAGAACTTTAAAAAAAATTACATTCTCTTTTTCACAAGGGTTTAGAATAATCCCTTCTTTGTGATGTTGCCACTGTTAGATGAGTTCTGCCTGCCATGGCATCTGTAATTTAGGTTTCCATTTCTGCACAAGATTTTAAATGCTTATTAGTGGTTGCCAGAGAAAAATATTCTTTGCATTGTGTCACAAAGATTGCACATTATTCATAGAGAAATCGATGTAATTTGTTACAACCTTAGTATTAGAGGATAGTAGCAACCCTCTTTAGAAGAAATACTCATCATACTCTCTCTATGTATCTTTAGATATTTGAGAAATCCTAAGCATGTTTTTGTTTTACAATGAGTTGAGTAGTTACTAACTGGTCTGCCTTCGGGACAAAATGGGGAAGCAACCAACAGCCAGATTTGTCTCAAATTTGATCTCATGCTAGGTTCAACCAAATTTGGACAAAACATACAGTTGCAATGAGTCAGTAACAGTATTACTGTTATCAAGCGCACCAGTTCTCAGGGAAAGCATCTTAAATTCTTAGAAGCTGCCAAAACTGTTACAAAACAAGACATCTAATCTGTAACAAGAATCCTCCCATTTTAACACTGAGTTATAGGAATTGTCACAACTGGAGGAAAAAGTTAGCGAGGATTTCAATTCTTGTTGTGGATCGTTTTTGCATGTCACTGACAACACCTAAGAGGGAGGCGATTGCATTCTAAGGGAGTGTTTCCTGTAGTTTTTATGAACAGTCCACATATACATTCAGGTGCATCCCAGAAGGTTTTGTGATTATCATTCAACTTACTTTTCCCTCTTCTCCCCATCCCCCTCTTCCCCAACAGATTTTGGGAGAGCTCCCAGAGCACTGCGCTTTTGTCATCATTTACGGGGTTCCCATCTACAGGCGATTGCATTCTAAGGGAGTGTTTCCTGTAGTTTTTATGAACAGTCCACATATACATTCAGGTGCATCCCAGAAGGTTTTGTGATTATCATTCAACTTACTTTTCCCTCTTCTCCCCATCCCCCTCTTCCCCAACAGATTTTGGGAGAGCTCCCAGAGCACTGCGCTTTTGTCATCATTTACGGGGTTCCCATCTACTGGCTGGCAAACCTCATTCCTGAACCACTTCCTCTCGGTGTGGCTGGCTGTATACAGTGCCCGTGCGATGGCACTTTGGATGGCAGCACTGCTGCCGACGTTACAGCTCTCAGCCTTCTTCAGCAATGTCCTTTTCACATCGTTCTACCTGAGTGGTGGTTTTGTGATAAGCCTGGAAAACCTCTGGACAGGTAAGACAAAGCTCCCACCATCCCTCCAAACTGAAACATCAATGGTTTTCAATAGTGACTGGCTGTGGTGAGGCTAAATGTGTCCTGTGCCGGAAAACTCAGCTTTATTCCTACCTTTGCAATTATCTTCTTGGGTGGTGACGGTGGCATCAGATCGTTCATTTTACATCAGTTTCTCCATCTGAAAATGAGGTAACATAAGTTTGGTGAAAAAAGCACCAGTGAAAGTCTCAATTCTTACATAGTTGCTAAATTTTTCAGTAAAAAAAAATTATACCCAGCAGATGAAGATTGAGCTCCAGTGAGACTTAGTTGACAGCGGGAGTTTGATGGATATGGATATTAGCGCTCTCCTAATTTTCCATCTCCACGTAATAATATAAAGTATATCAGCCATTTTGTCCAATAATAAACTGTTACATGTTTACAGCCTCTCTTTGTCAAGAAATTAGACAAACCTGCTGTATTTGGCAGCGACACAGCAGTTTTTGAGGTCTCAAGTTTTGTGTATGCATATCAATTTCTTTCTTTCTGCCATTTTTTTCCAGTTCCATTTTGGTTTTCTAAAATCTCTTTTCTAAGATGGAATTTTCAAGGCATGATGCAAATTCAGTTCACTGACCTCACATACGAAATGACTGTTGGAAATACTACACTTCAAATACCAGGGAAACTTGTAAGTCACGAATGCAAATTGCTACAAACATCTGATAACTAATTAGAATGCTATTTCTGTGCCCATCATATTTAAGTAGGTGTTGTAGGCCTCAAATTTGGCAAGCACTAAATCAATACGTGAAGTCACGTTACACTTGGTGTATTTTAAATTTGTCCCTACAGATATCGCTACCACAGTCACTCCTTTCTTTTTAGTGGAAGGGGAAAAAAAAAAAAAAAAAAAAAAAAAAGAATGAAGGGCAACTATTTTCGACACAAGCCCCAGCTGATATTGCTCAGAAGCTGAACTGTATTCCTCCGAAACTCCGCAGCCCCTAGACACCGGGTAGCTGTAACCAGCTATCAAACCACACATCCAGCTGGAAACCAGGGGGAAAGGCGGCAGGGGCCAGGGAAGCTAGCACATAAAACATACTTCACACAGCCAGCATGAAAATTTTGTGTCCATTCCTAATTTTGCATTATCCGTGCTTACAGGTCACTCGGGCTCTGGATCTGGACTCCCACCCTCTCTACGTAAGCTATCTCGTCCTCGCGGGCATCGTCTGCAGTTTCCTGCTTTTATACTACTTATCTCTGAGGTTCATCAAGCAGAAATCAAACCAAGACTGGTAACAGCAAACCATGCAGAGAGG